TGCTGCTTGATGTTGAGGGAGGCACACCACTCTCGGAACTTGGCATCGTCAAATTGCTATTCGTTGTCGATGACTAGCATGTGGGGGAGGCCGAAGTGGCAAATAACGTTCTTCTAGAAAAAGCTCTGAATTGCTCGAGCTGTAATGGTAGTCGGGGGTTTGGCTTCTATCCATTTGGTGAAGTAGTCCATAGCGACAACGAGGTATTTCCTGCCCCCTGTTGCTTGAGGAAAGGGGCCGAGGAGTTCCACCCCCCACTTGGCGAAGGGATAAGGGATGCTAAGAGTCGAAAGGGTGGTGGTTAGCTGATGGCACAAGTTGGCCTGTCTCTAGCATTGGTCACACTTCCGTACCAGCTCGGTTGTGTCCTTGTGAAGTGTTGGTTAAAAGTACCCCTGCCTTAGTGTTTTTTGGGCTAGGGTTCGGCTGCTGAGGTGATTACCGCAAATGCCTTCGTGAATTTCTCAGAGCACGTATTTGCCCTCCTGCTGGCGGAGGCATCGGAGGTAAGGCAAGGTGAAGGATCTCCTATACAACTTTCTCTCCAGCAAAGTGTAGTGTGCTGCCTGACGTTGGAGTCGTTTAGCTTTGTTCTTGTCATCGGGTAGTCATCCTGTCAATAGGAAGTCAATGATGGGGTCCATCCAAGATGGTTTGGCCTCTAGCGGGAGTACTTGGGATTCTTCTCTAGAGGGCCAGTGTAGCTTCTCCATGCGGACAGTGCGTCTGAGGGCTGCGTCCGAGGTACTTGCTTGCTTAGAGAGAACATTGGCTCTTGCATTCTCGGTTCGTGGTACTTGTTGTAGGGATAAGCGTTGGAAGTGGCGGACTAGCTCTTGAACTTTGGCGAGGTACTTGGTCATACTTTGTTCTTTGGCCTTGTACTCAACATTGACTTGATTCACCACCAACTGCGAATCGCTGAATACTTTGATATGCTTGGAGCCGAGGTCCCTAACGAGCTGTAACCCCGCGAGGAGGGCTTCGTACTTGGCTTCGTTGTTGGATATTGGGAAGTTAAATCTCAACGTGTATCACCGTTGAGTTAATTCACCACCAACTTTGAATCACTAAATACTTCGATATTCTTGGAGCCGAGGTCCCTGACAAGCTGTAACCCCGTGAGGAGGGCCTCGTACTCGGCTTCATTGTTGGACATTGGGAAGTCAAATCTCAATGCGTATTCTATGACTGCATCGTCGAGGGTGAGGAGGATGAGGCCCACTCCGCTTCCTTTGGCGTTGGACGAACCATCAACAAAGAGTCTCCATGCTAGATGGGATTCCTCAGCCGGGCAGCTTCTTCTGGTTCATCTTCGAGGTGCCGATCGAGTGGTCTACTGAAGATGCACTTTGTTACAAAATCAGCTAAGGCTTGCGCTTTAATTGCGGGCCTCGGTTGGTACTGAATGTCAAACTCAGACAGTTTGACAGCCCACTTGAGCAGGCGTCCAGAGGTCTCAAGCTTGGCAAGGATGGCCTTAAGGGGCTGGTTTGTCAGAACCATAATGGTGTGAGCTTGAAAATACGGCCTGAGCTTTCTAGACGAGATAACGAGGGTGAAGGCTAACTTCTCCACCTCAGGGTACCTGGCCTCAGCGTCGCAGATGACCTTGTTGACATAGTATATAGGTCTCTGGACTCCATCTTTTACGTGGATTGAGTTGATGGCTTCATCCCCCACTGAGAAGTATAAGCACAACGTTTCTCTTGATGCTGGCCGAGCGAGGAGGGGAGGTGAGGGGAGCCGAGGTATAGCTTTAGCTCGTCGAAGGCACATTGGCATTCCTCTGTCCACTGGAAATCTTTCATCTTCTTGATGGCACAGAAGAAGGGAAGGCAGCGGTCGGCCGACTTCGACATGAAGCGGTTGAGAGCAACTACTCAGCCAATGAGCCTTTGAGTTTCCTTCACCGACCGAGGGGTGACATGTCTAGTATGGCCTATATCTTTTCTGGATTGTCTTCAATGCCTCTTTGGGTGATGACGAAGCCTAAGAATTTGCCCGAGGTGACGCCGAAGGCACACTTGCTTGGGTTAAGCTTCATGTTGAACTTCCGCAAGGTGTCGAAGGTCTCGGCCATATTCGAGGTGTGTATCTCGGCTTTTAGGGTCTTTACCACCATGTCATCTACATATGCTTTGACGTTCTTCCCCATCTGGTTCTTGTACACCTTGTTGACAAGACGTTGGTTGGTGGCCCCTTCATTCCTGAGTCCTAACGACATCATTTTGTAGCAATATGTGCCATGCTCGGTGATAAATGAGGTCTTCTCCTCGTCCTCGGGGTGCATCTTTATTTGGTTGTATCCGGAGAAGGCATCTATGAAGCTGAGTAGCTCATACCCTATAGGGTTGAGGTTACAAACCTCAAGCTCTTCCTTTTTGAAGCGGTTGATGTAGGACTGCAAACTTTCTCCCTGCTTCTACTTGATCGACATCAGCGAGACCACACTTTTTCTGACATCGTCTACTGCTGATGAAGCGAGCAAGGAATATACTGGTAAACTGCTCCCATGAGCCGAATGACTGAGGAGGGAGGCTAGAGAACCAATGACGAGCTGCCCCCCTGAAGGTGGCCTGGAAGGTCCAGCACGTCAAGGCGTCGGAATACCCATAGAGTATCATGAGTGCTTTGAAACCTCCCAGGTGGTCGTCGAGGTCGGAGCTCCATTCGTACGTCTCCTAGGTGGTTGTCGTGGGAGCCTTGAAGTGTTGGGGGAGAGGTTCCGAAATAATGTCTAGGGTGAAGGCGTCCATCTTCCCCGTCTGATTGCTTTGGTCGGCTGAGGCGTCAGCTCGGCTTTCATGAACTTGTCAGATCTCGTCCCTGACAGCCTTGAGCTCGGCTTGTAGCTCCACAATACAAGGGTTGATGGGAGCCTGTACCCCCCCCCTTGTCCTCGCGAGCACGGTGAGGGTCGTCTCGGACTCCAGAGTGCTCCGAGGTGGGACCGCACATCTCCCGTCTGGTGTGATGGTCATTTAGGACGTCGCGGAGGTCAGAGACTGGGTGGGGGGAGAGGCGTGGCGTCAGCCCTCAGCCTTGGAATGGGCGCTATGACGGTTGAAGCGCCCGCCTTCATCCCAAGTGTTGTCCCTTCTGCAACGATGATGCTGCTCGGAGGGCTGGCGGCTGTCTTCGGACGCTGCTGGTTCTTCCTCCCTTCGGTTGGGAGGCCTTTTGTTCCTCCGTGGTGGGCTGAGGGGTCGGCTGCTGCCCGACTCAGAAGGCTCTACCTACCAAGTATTGGCTCGACCGAGGGCGGGTAGTTTGGTCTGATCGCACCAACCTTGATGTTCAGACACCCCGGCGAGGCGGTCGCCTCCGGGGGGGGAGGACCTCCTGCCTGGGGGCATGCTTGCTCCACACGCTGTGTTATGTATTTCATACGATCGAGGACCGCCTGGAACTGCTCATTTGTAACTAAGTTCTTAGTGTTTCTGGCTCTCCATACCATGGTGCTTGAAGTTGGGGAGGTTTTTAGTTTTTAATGCTTTAGGGGATTGTCTTAGCAACGATTCTCACTGACGACGCCAATTGTTGCTACCCGGGTTGGCTGAAGGCAATAAGGTAAAAACACTCATGAGCTCTAAAGGTTGGCCGAAGGCTGAGGGGTTCCAAGGAGGTGTGCCGAGGCTGAGAGCCGTAGGCCGAGGTAGATCGTCTTTGAGTACTGTAGAAGCCGAAGGCTTATAGCCGAGGACTATCGTTTAAGTGGTGAAGTCCCTAGTAGTTTGAGGTTCTACAAGACAGTAGATGTCAGAGGCCCTGGGTGAGAATCCAAGCCAGAGGCTCCAACGGTCAAATTTGTACGGAGGTTGGCGAGAGGGATCTGGTGCAGACGAGGGCTCTAAAGAGGGTGCTCGTATGCATTAGGCTCCCAGGAGGTAAGGTCCTTCACTTAAGTTTTTAATTAAAACTGGTATTCTAGAATCCTTTACCCGAAGGGTTGGTGAAGATAGACACCCCTGATGAGCTCCATACGAGGGCGATTAATCGGAGAAGCGGGGACGCGAAGTGCTCCACTGTTGGCTCTGTACGAGGGGAGCAGGGCAACCCCGCCGTGCTGAACCGGGACCCTGACTAGCGTCCGTGGGCTGGGCCCTCCAGCCCGTAATGAACTCGGCCAGGTTACCCTACATCAGAACCAAACATGACCTTAGCCTATCCTTCTCTCTCTCTCTGCTGAGTGCTGACTGCCTCTGCGTTGTTATTTGTCACTGTCGTTGTGGCGGTGGCGGCCAAACGCCCGTACTTCCAACACCACGTTACAAAAAACGGCATATTTCATGCCGTTCGGTAATCAGCACTACACGAAAATAAAGGTCACCGGGGGATGTGCATTTATTAATTATTTTCTTTTAATAAATTCCTCCTTTTTTGGTAAATTATTTCCTTTTAACTTATTAAAAAAACACAGAAGGGATCTACTCTCGGCTCCTTTTTCTCTCACATTGGTTACATATCATGCTACGTTTCAATAAAAAAAAAAGGGAGTGATGAGCGATGGCCTCCGGATTGCGTGCTTCCCAGTTCCATGATATATTAGATTGGAGCTTGATTATGGCGGTACCCAAGCAATTGACTTGACTTTATTAAAGAAAGCAATTGACGCACAGAAGGCGCCCCACACGCACATCCCCGTGCATTTGGAACATCTCCTCGTGACAAGTATTTGAGATGTTTCAAATGCACGAGGGGATGCGTGTGTGGGGTGTATAGCGCGTTCTGGGGGTAGTCCAGTCCATCCGATCTATCATCTATCTGATACTTTCCTTTTCTTTTATTAAAAACGATAATTATTTGGGTTGGTGGGGACAGTTTTATACGTGGGGAAGGTCCCGACTCCCGATTGTCAGACGACTGAGGTGGGGAGGCCACTGTTTGTATTTTGTAAGGAAGTCAAGAACCTGATAAGATGATGACACGTGTATGGTTGGTAGCCTATGTTGCTTCTCCTCAACTGCATTATAAATAAGCGTCAAGGCTCACACCCAAATTCGTTCCAAAGTACAGATTGTTTTCTGCTTGCTCAATATCTTCTCTCTTGCACCCTTTTCATCTCGTCCTTTTTAATCTCTGGGAAAATGTCTTGCGGGGGAAACTGTGGCTGTGGGTCTGGCTGCAGCTGTGGTGGAGGGTAATTTTCTAATCCCAATCAAGACTTCTCTCTCTCCATGATCTCTTCTTTTTGTTTTCCTTTTAGCTTTTTCTATTTTTTTGACATTTCTTAGTTTTTTCCCTTTCTGTTTATTTTTGTTCCCCTGATATATGTGACGAGTCTTCTTCTTCTTCTTATTCTTCTTCTTCTCTCTCTGATTCTCTCCGAAAATGAATTAAAGTCGAATTACTTCTTTTATTTGTTTGTTTCGAGGGTGATAACTGATAAGCATGACTGCATGAGTTGTTTTTTGCTTGTACATGGATACATGGTACCCTTGCATGTGATTTTGGCAAGAGATCACCTTCTGCGGTTTATTCCTTCTTTTCCTTCTCTCTTTCTTTCTTTCTTAGATTTAGGTTAAACATATTTTTCCCTATTTTTTGGATGTGGTTGCAGATGCAAGAAGTACTTAGACATGAGCTTCGCTGGCGAGAAGACAACCACTGAAACCATTGTTGTTGGGGTTGCTCCTCAGAAGACGTACGCATCTTTCTTATAAATAGATTGAAAATATTTTTAGTCGATCCCCCCATCTCCCCCCCCCACAAGAAAAAGAAACGGAAGAAAATTTAGTGCGGTACTTAAATTCAATATTTGGTTGCAGATACTCGGAAGCCTCTGAAATGAACTTTGGAGCGGAGAACGAAGGCTGCGGGTGCGGATCCAACTGCAGCTGTGATCCTTGCAACTGCAAATGAAGAATAATGTTATGTATCAAAAGATAATATATGTGTGTATGTGTGTGTTGGGTCTCGTCCTCGTGTGAAGTTTGTTCTTTATGATGGGTCTGAGTTTGATGAAAATAAACTAGTCATGGCTTCTTCTGCAGATCCTAACTTGTTAGGTTTGTAGTTGATGCTGTTGTTTGTTACTGCTGTGTGGGTATCATGTCTCTTATTTATGTACGATGACTGATGAGAGGAGAGACTTTGGATATATTTGCAATGAATGAAAGATAGACTCCTTTCTACCGTGTTTGTATTTTTTGTGCAAAAATAGGCAAAAGATATGTATGAATATTGATTTAATTTGGTCCATCTCAGCTCCCACCAGATTGCTATTTTTTCTGGAGGTTGCTTCTCTTCTCTGTTCAGGAGAATTGAGACTGGGCCGGGGTTTGATCGGTTGTCGGTGCCATGGAGGTAGTCAACAGACTCAACACCCTTTTCCTTTTCCTCGTGACCTCAGCTCCCTTGCGTGCCTGAAAAGAAAGTAAATCCATTGCATTTGATTTGCCCTTTTCTCCATGGTTGATGGTTCCCATCTTCTTCTGCCCTTCACCATCATCCAGAAAAAAAAAAAATTGCCTTTTAAAGAATTGCCGACTAATGACTTTAAACCTGTTGTTATGCAAAGATATGCACATAACATATATCACCTGTGCATCATATTTTATTGAAAAGGAATTTGGATTTGCTACTCATACTCATAGAGTGCGTCTCACACCAATCTCTGAATGATAACATCATGTACCGGAGATGTTTTCACTTTTCAATGCACTGCTGCGATTGGTGAGTCGGGAGTAAATCTGATCTCCATACGAATTATTTTACCAAAAAAATCATATGAATTAAAACATACAGATGCGGAATTCAAATTTCCAAACAGGGGATACTTTTTGCTACTCCTTGCTCACATGAACAAACCCAACAGTGACAAATACCCTGCCTTCTCAAAAGTTTTGACAGGAAGGCTGCATTTGTTTGACAAATTTTGCACCGTATTTAGTTTTGCATGATATGGGATCCTCTGTTAGTTCACTTGTGTGAAATCTTTAAGATTCTTACTTTTGTGTTTTCTTTTTATTAAAAATGAAAAATACTGCCCATTATATTTCTCCTCCAAATCTCTTTTTTCTACCATCGCTGTTCATGGCACTTGTTCTGCCTCTCCAGCCATCTTCTCTGTTCACGACGATTTGTTTTAGCTAAGTTCTTTCTCTGTTTTTCATTTCCGAATCAAATCCTTGTAACTACAACATTTAGATATAAACCCCTTCAAACTCTTATCCCCAACGCACCATGGGTCAGTATCATATGCTTCTGCAAAATCTTTTGTTATTGTTCTTCTGCGAAAACACCAAGAGGAAACCACCTCTTTTTGTTTTGTTTTTTAACATTTGAAAGGAAAATAAATTGCCATTCTCTTTTCTTGATTTTTCATTTTCTGGTTTCTTTCTCTGAAAAATGGTACAAAAACAGAGTATTTGTGAATGAAGAAAAGTTGTCTCTTTGCATGAGATTCATATTAAATATTTATAGACAAGATTACATGTATAACTAACCATCTATACATCTTGACAGGTTGTAACTAATTCTAACAAATTCATAGTCCACGTGTAACTGTGTAACAGATTTTGTTATACAGTTAAGACTCCCCCTCAAGCTGGACTGGATGTTGGAGAAAACATGTCCAACTTGAATAATTAGGAGTGAAACTGATCACGACCAAGGGCCTTGGTAAAAATGTCAGCTGGCTGAAGCTTGAAAGAGATGTTTCCACTAAGGGCCTTGGTAAAAATGTCAATTGGATTAGCTGCTATATGCAAGGCTGCTTTGTTATCACAGTACAGTTGCATGGGTTGAGCATGAGAAAGCCCAATGTCAAGAAAGAGGTGTTTTGGCCAAAGAAGTTCACTTCTTGCAACAGCCATGGTGCGATACTCCGCCTCTATTGAAGACCTTGAGACAATATTCTGCTTCTTGGACTTCCGGGATAGAGGAGAACTGCCCAACATTGTGATATAGCCGGTGGTTGGACTTCAAGTTATTGGGCAACCGACCCAATCTGAATCGTAGTAAGCTCTAAGTTTTAAATCACTTGATGCAGACAAGAATATGCCATATGAAATTGTAGCCTTCAAATATTTGAGGATGTGAAATGCAGCATCCCAATGTTCTTGTCAAGGTGCACTCATGAATTGTGTGAGCACATTGACAACAAATGTTATGTCAAGCCATGTAACTTGCAAATAGACTAGACACCCAACCAGCCTTCTATATTGGGCTGCATCTTGGAGCAACGACCTAGTAGCTAAAGCAAGGTGTTGTTGTTGTAGCATTGGAAATGGGCTAGGCTTGCACCTAGTCATGCCAACATCCTGAAGAATATCTAGAGTGTATTTCCTCTAACAAAGGTGTATGCCAGTCTTAGATCGTGATACCTCAATTCCCAAAAAATAAGTGAGTAGCCCTAGATCTTTTATGTGGAAACATGAGACCAGGTATTCTTTGAGAGCACAAATTTGGCTAGGGTCACTACTTGTAATGACAAGATCGTCTACATATACTAAGACAACAAGGGAGTTGCTTGGACTAGATAAGGTGAATAAAGTACAATCAGCATTTTGCCACTTGGAAACCATGTCTTTGGAGTGCAACAACAAGTTTCTCAAACCATTATCTTGAAGCTTGCTTAAGACCATAAAGGGAGCGCTAGAGTTTGCAAAATCGAGTATCACAATCCTTGGGTAATCTAGGGGGGGGGGAGCATATAAACTTTTTCATGTAAATCTCCATGTAGGAATGCATTATTTACATCTATTTGATGAATCTCCCACTTGCGAACCGCAACAAATAGATAAGAAACATTGTACGGTAGTTTGGCTACGGGAGCATATGTCTCATTATAGTAAATGCCTTTAGTTTTAGTGTAGCCTTTTGCTACAAGCCAAGCCCTACAGTTCCATTGGGCTTGAGCTTAACTTTATACACCCATTTGCATCCTATGGGTTGTTTACCTAGAGCTGGAGGTAATTGAGCCAAGTCCCAAGTATGATTGCAATTAAGAGCTTCAATCTCATCATTCATTGCTTGACACCACTTCGGATTTGTAATGGTTTGAGTATATGGACGAGGTTTAGTGGTGTGTAGTAGGCAAGTAGTAAAGGTGGATGGGTGTTGCTCAACAAGGCTTGTCAATTGATGGGCTGTAGAAAAATTGGTGGCTAGTAAAGTGGAGGAAAACAAAGTCTTGAAAATGTTTGGGAACTCGGGTGGTCCTAGTAGGTCTTGGATTTGACCAGGTGAGTTTAGGTGGTCTTAAAACATGTTGAGGTGATTCAAGTGTATTTTTGAATGGGTTGAGTGGTGTTCTCAAGATAGGACTCAGTTGTGGGTTCAATTAATGAATGAGGAAGCTGGGTGTTATCCAAAAAGATTGGATTAGGATTTGGGGGAACAGCTATGCTGGGTAGATTTAATTTAGCTAAACTGCCATACTCAAGAAATGGAAACCGCTTTTCATAAAAATGAACATCCCAGGACATGAATATTTTTTTAGTGTCCAAATCATAAACTTACAAGCCCTTTTGAGCATGTGGATATCTAAGAAACATGCACCTAGTTGCCCGTGGAGAAACCATGAAATCAGTTATAGCAGAGACACCTAAATACATGTAAATGACCATAGTGCGGTGGCTTACCAAGTAGCATTTCATAAGGTGGTTTACTAGAGAGAAGTAGTGTGGGCAAATAATTGATTAGGTAGGCTGTTGTCAATGCACATTCGCCCTAAAATTGGATTGGTAGGTTGCTGTCAATACACAGAGTATTTGTGAATGAAGAAAAGTTGTCTCTTGGCATGAGATTCATATTAAATATTTATAGACAAGATTACACGTATAAGCAATTGTCTATACATCTTGATAGGTTGTAACTAATTCTAACAATCCACGTGTAACAATGTAACAAATTATGTTATATAGCTAAAACTCTGAGATAATGAACCCATAGAGAAGGTTCTCCCATATTTTAGAAAGCCAACTATAAACACAATTACATAGGAAAGAGAAAGTGTGTAGTAGGAAGAGGAAATGAGAGAGAGAGAGAGAGGTGAACCAAGGGGGAGAAATATGAGACACCATAACAGAGACACCCAAATACATGTAAATGATCATTGTGCGGTGGCTTACTGAGTAGCATTTCATAAGGTGGTTTACTAGAGAGAAGTAGCATGAGCAAATAATTGATTAGGTAGGCTTTTGTCAATGTACATTCGCCCCAAAATTGGATTGGTAGGTTGTTGTCAATACACAGAGTATTTGTGAATGAAGAAAAGTTGTCTCTTCGCATGAGATTCATATTAAATATTTATAGACAAGATTACACTTATAAGCAATTGTCTATACATCTTGATAGGTTGTAACTAATTCTAACAACCCACAAAATTTAGGGCCGGGCTTAGGCTTAATACTTCAAGCCCGGCCTGGCCCGCATATATTTAAACTTACATATTTTGTATATATTGTATACATGTTATTTTACATTATATTATATTATATATATATATAAATATTATAAGATGACATGTATAATTTATATTATATGTAATATTTTATATTATATAATGTATAAAATAAGTTTATACGCATGTTATGTCATTTAATATATAGATATGTAATGATTTATATATGAGTGACATTGGCCCGGGCCCGGGCCCGTATAGACTTGGGCTAGGGCTTATATTTCAAGCTTAGAACCCCAACCCGGGCCTAAGCTATAGCCCTTATCATAAGTGTAAAGCCTGGCCCAACCCGGCCCATTATCACCCCTATTGAGAGGTAGGGCTACAAGCAGATCCGATGAATCAGATATAGGCATATATCCGAATTTGATTTGTTAACATTCGAATCCAAATTGGACCATATCTATCGAATATCTAGTAGATTCGAATCAAATTCGGATTATAATTAAATATTAAATAGTATAAATAAATTAAACTAAAAATAACCAAAATATTATATATTATTAATAAGATGAGCTAAAAATGACTTTAATAATATTTTATGAACAAAATGAATTGAAAATTACTTGTATAAAAGTGGAACATATGACAATTTAGTGAAAATACAACATTAAGATCAACTTCAATGATAAATATGTTAATATACTTTTTAAGTATATATGAACATATATTATTTAAATCGAATTGTATTAGATTATATATATTTGATCCAATTATAAACGGATCAAATTTAATTC